CATGTTCATTCATGTTCATTCGTTACAATGATAAACGAACACAAGAGAATGAACGTAAACAAACACAAACGAATGTAAACGAACATAAAATTAATTGGGTTTATAATTGAGAATAATTCTTTTTTCTTTTCACATAATTTTAGGATTTTTATTTTCTTTAATTGTTTTGAGTATTTTTTTATTTGGGTTTAAAATTAATTAGGTTTTAAAATATTAATGAGTTTAAGTTTAAAATTTATTAGACCATAATATTTCAAACGAATCTTTAGATTGAACAGAATATAAACAAACGAACATAAATTACTGTACATAAATGAATGAATTACCCAAAGTTCACAAACGTAAATGAACGAATGAGTCATTTGTTCTTGTTCTTTCAATTAATTAAAAGAACATAAAATATTGTTTATGTTCGTTCATTTAATAAATGAACTTCCAATAGAATGGTTCATAAACAGTTCGTTGAACGTTTGGTTCATTTACATGCCTACATCTAATTAAAATTAAGTACTTATTACAAGTCCGCATCAAAGGAATAAGTTTTGTTTAAATTAAATTCATAATGATCTATGTAAATAATCTAAATTAATTTAATGTTTAAATACATTAACCGCTATTTTTCAAGTAACAGACAAATTCAATTTTGTGATTTTGGTGGTCCTAGAGCTAACATTAGGTCTCTAATAATAAGTATTGGAAAGAAATTGAATTGTAAGAGTAAGAAAAATAAATTAGTTTATTTCTGAATTATATATATTTTTTCTTAAGAAATTATCTAATAAATACAAAAAATTCAAATAAAAAATATTAAGAAATTTTATTTAACACCCAATTACTTACTTAAAATAAGCATAGCTCTCTTTTAAGAATGATACAATTTGATTTAGCCATCTCAGTCTTATCAAAAAATAATAAAAGAACAATTACATAGAAATTTAAAAAAATAACTATAAAATTCACGAAAGCATTGCCATCAATTAACTATGAGTGGCCAACAATAAAACATAACATAGGAATGATTTTAAAAAATAATTGAAGACAAAAAAATTAAAATAAATAGATGAATAATTAAATATATAATTTATTTTTTTAGTTGTATATCAACTAAATTTTAGGCCGGGTAAGTATCCTCTCCATCAGCTACAAACCTGATAATAAGTTCATATTGATTAAATTGACAATAAATAATAGGGGTGTTCAAATAACCAAATTAATTCGGTTAATCGACCGAACCGAATTAGTTCAGTTAATTCGGTTCGGTTACCAAATTAGTTCGGTCGGTTAACGATTAAGAAAATTTTTAGAATTCGGTTAACGGTTAATTAACCGAATTAACCGAAATTAAATTTTAAATTTTAAATATATTATATATAACATATAGGCTCAGCCCAAACCATTTAAAACCCAATTAATAATTTAAGATCCAATAATTTTTAAACCTAAATCAATATTAATTTATTAAAAAAATTATATAAAATTTTTATTTTATAATTATATATTATTTAAATTAATTGTAAACTATTTTTTAATTAAAAAATATTAAATATATTATATATAACATATGGGTTAAGCCCAAATCATTTAAAACCCAATTAATAATTTAAGATCTAATAACTTTTAAACCTAAATCAATATTAATTAATTAAAAAATTTATCTGAAATTTTTATTTTATAATTATATATTATTTAAATTAATTATAAACTTTTTTGAATTAAAAAACATTTAATTTTTATATAAATTATAAAATTTTAAAACAAAATCGGTTAATTCGAAAATTAACCGAATTAACCGAAATTTATTCGGTTCGGTTAATATTTTTAAAAAAAAAATTTGGTTCGGTTAACGGTTAAAGAAAAAAAAAGTTCGGTTAATTCGGTTCGATTTTAACTGAATGAATAGCCCTAATAAATAACATTATTTTTTTATCAATTATCTAAAAATATTAGGATAGTTTTTGTTTTTGTAGTAGACATAATTTATCATTTTCTCTTTAATGGTATTTTTGAATCAATTTAATATTCGAAGATGCTCAATTGCATCAATGTTTAAAACATTTATTATTATTTAGAGTTTTAAATTAGGGTTTAGGAGTTATGAGATATAGTTTAAGATTTATGATTTATGGTTTTAAATTAGGGTTTAAGGTATAGAATGATGCGAAAATACCATATGGACAAAAATAATAAATTGAGTCTACTACGGACAAAAATAACCCTTAAACCTTAATTTTATATATAATTTTTTAAGGTTTGAATCTTTAGTCTATTTCATTGTAACAGAAAATCAAATTTAATTTTTGTTGATTATATCAATTGGTACTGTGACTGTATTAATATTAAGTACGTTTGAATATAATAATTTAAGCATTAAATCTGTTAAAAGGGATCATGAATGTGGGATAGTCGCAGGGGCTGCTGGAGTGCTGGTCATATTGACTTGAGGGCTAAGCGCGTGGTGGAGAAGGTTTTAATAAGAAGAATGATTAATTATAAAATAAGTGCTCAAATTATACCATTGTTTTCAAATTGGTGTGCAAGCTTTTTTGAGTTATCCAAATGTTTATCATTACAAATATTATCACTTTAGGTACCATGTTATACCGGTTGTTGAATTCTATCATGTTCCCTTTATAAAATTTAAAAAAATTATTTAACTTAAAAAACTTAAAAATATTATTATATTTATAAAAAACCTTGTTTTTTCTAAAATTACAAAACACTCAAAACACTAACCCTTATTTCTCTTTATTGTCATCGATCATCACCATTATTTTCGTCATCGACCAATCACTCACCCATTGTGCCGTCCCTGCTATCATCGTCGTTTGCCAAACACCAAAAACCTTTAAATCACCAAACACCCGAATGTTATTGATTTTCTCCCTTTAAATCGCTATTCGGTGGTTGTTCGTCACGTATGTGGTCATTCGATGGAGGCAAGGTCGACGGTAGGTTCATTCGACGGAAACGATGACATAAAAGGGCGGCGGCGACGTTGGTATAAGGATTATATTTAAGGTTTTCGTAGTTGCTTTTTTTAAGGATTTTTGAAAATTTCAGGGGTTTTAAAAAAAATAATTTCAAGTTTTTTATTCATTTTAAATAATTTTAAAATAAATTTTTTAAAATTATTTGACGTGACAGTATAACTTAACAGAGAAATTTAACGGTTATTATGGCTCGAGAACCTAAAATGATAAAGTTTGGATCGAAAAAAATTTAGACACCTATTGAAAAAAAGGATATAGTTTGGGCACTCATTCTTGAATTAAGGCTAAGAAGAATGAATGGCTAGGGTTGAAGAGTTGGGTGATTGGATGGACTCGAACCTTCCAGCTCGGCTCCAGCACACCTTTCCTGAAAACTCTCGCCTAGAATCGTCTTTTACACTTTTTTTTTGTTTTTACTTTAAAGTCGATCTCTCTATTTATTTCGTTTGGATCTTTTACCGATCCACTTTCCCTAAAATATACAATACCTGATTTCTTTTCTGAGTTTGGGATTTCACGTATCAAGTTCTCCTATTAAGATATTGGGTAAACAACCCTCTTGTCACGAAATTACTGTCTGTGTTTTATTTTAATCACTAAATTAAAAATCTTACAAATTTAATCACAAATAATTCAGACCACTCCCATGCCGCCTCCATCCGCTGATATAACAATTTTGACACCACAAATCATTGGCTGCCCTCATCCATCTACCCGTCTTTGTATAAAGCAAATCTATAAATTGTAGGGGTGTATTCGGTTTGGTTCGGTTCGGTTTTTTACCAAAAACTGAATCGAACCGAAATAAACGGTTTTTCAATATTTAAACTGAAACCGAAACCGAATAGTTAAAAAACCGAAAAAACCGAAACCGGTTTTTTCGATTCGGTTCGGGTTTTTTAACGGTTCGGGTTTTTCGGTTCGGTTCGATTCGTTTTTTCTGTTTTTCAATGAAAAAATCACTTGAAACTATAATTTTTTTGCAAAAATTGCCTATTCGGTTCAATATGGAACAAATGGGTTCCATATGAAAAACCCGAACCGAACCGAATCAAAAAAATGAAGCCTTTAAACCGAACCGAAAACCGAACCGTTTAAAACCAAACCGAACCGAACCGAACCGTTTTACTCGGTTCGTGTCGATTTTTTGGTTTTCTCGGTTTCGTTGCTCACCCCTAATAAATTGTATAATATATATTTTTAATCTCCGTATAACACCAAGGAAAACTATTTGGTAGGTATAATTTTTTAATTCCACTAGTTATATTGAGAAAAAAATCGTATGTTATTGATTAATATTTTTAAAAAAATCAATTAAATGAAACACATGGTAGTTTTTAACTCACTAGTAGACTAAAAACTTAATAATTAATTTATCAAATATGACTCCAAATATTAAATAAAATTGAAGATATATTATTTGGGTATATATATGCACAAAAATCAGGTCATAAACGGGACAAGAATCACCGTTTTAGGAATACCATTCTACTCCTTAGAAATTTTAAATATTTTTATTTATTGTACGATTTCATAATCCTAATTTTTTTTAATTTCACACTTATAAATTTTTAATATAATTTTTTAAGTTCACATTTCCTACATAAATTTTTACATCAGTCTCTTTCTTTAATTAACAATAATACAAAACATAAAATTTATATCTAAAATGAGATAAAAAATTACACGAATCAAACTACCTTATCGTTTAAATAGATAGTTATTGTCCTTAGGCCATGGATTGGAGCACCAATAGTAATAAAATATTCGAATAACCATTATCAATTGAGATATAAATTATTATTATTGTAGACACTGTTTTTTGTTCGGGTCTATAAAAATATTTTATTTTATTATATATATATATATATATATATATATATTATCATTAATATATTTTTATTTTATTATTTTTGCAGGCCCATACTCAACAACCTCAATTTAATGAGATTAAGAAAATAAACCAACGTATTTGAGTCCTATTGAAACACTAAAACCAACGTATTTGAGTCATATTAAAACACTAAAACCGAAACATTTTGAGTCCAAGTAGGACTTTAAATCTGAGCTAAAAATAGGTTTCTTTAAACTATAAATAGACCTATGAATCAAGAGGAAAGAAGAGAGAAAAACGTGGAATCAAAATCAGAGGAATGGACAACGATTTGAAAAAACCGAGGAAAGAAAATGACAAAATATAAGCGTGGAAGATCCAAAGCCAGTATCTAAAAGCACGAGGAGTGGCAAAGCATTTTCATTGCAAATCCAGTTTCTCTACACGCAAAATATGAGAGATGTAACAAGTTTTGACTTATTCTTTTTATTTCATTTTTATTTATTTACTTTATATATATTTTTCATTTTCTCCTAATTTTAATATTTTTATTTCTTTTATACATTGTTATATATATATATTTCTTTTTTTATTAATATTATTATATTAATATTTTTTGTTATTTTTTTCTCATGTTTATTTTCATTTTTACAATCCAACACTTTTGATTTTTTAGGGATACTTTCAATCGATCAAAGGTAATTAATTCGGATTGAATTTTTGAATTTGAAAATTTTGATTTTCGCGATTAAGACAACCAATGAATTAATTGGTACCAAAAGGGCGATTCAAGGGTGCTAATCCTTCCTTGACCGTAACCGACTCCCGAACCCGACACGTTTTTGGTACAACGCAGATAAGGTAAGATAGTGTCCGACCTACCTAAATTCGTTTTAAATGGTCGGTGGCGACTCCAATTCATTTAATCCAAGTCGAAGCCCAATTCCGGCCCCAACCGAAAGGCGGTTCTGACAGCTTGGCTACTCATTTTTAAGGTTTCGGTAACCCAAAATGTCATTTTTGTCCGGGTCTACAAAAATATTTTATTATATTATATTTATTTATTTATATATTTATATATATATTTATTATTATTATTATTATATTTTTATTTTATTATTTTTATAGGCCCTGCACTCAACAATCTCGATTTAGTGATATTCAAAAAAATAAACCAACGTATTTGAGTCCTATTGAAATACTAAAATCGAAGCATTTTGAGTCCAAGTAGGACTCTAAATCTGAGCTAAAAATAGGTTTCTTTAGACTATAAATAGACTTATGCATCAAGAGGAAATGACACATAGAAAAATGTGGAACCAAAATCAGAGGAAGGGGCAACGATTTGAAAAAACTGAGGGAAGAAAAGGACAAAAAATAAGCGTGGAGGATCCAAAGCCAGTATCTAAAAGCAAGAGGAGTGCAGAACATTTTCATTGCAAATCTAATTTCTCTACACGCAAAACATGGGAGATGTAACAACTTTTGACTTATTCTTTTTATTTCATTTTGTATTTATTTACTTTATATATATATATATATATATATATATTTCATTTTCTCCTAATTTTAATATTTTTTATTTCTTTTTACATTGTTATATATATATATATATATATATTTTATTTTTTCATTTTTATTAATATTATTTTATTAATCTTTTTTATTATTCTTTTCTCATGTTTATTTTCATTTTTACAATCCAACACTTTTGACTTTTTAGGGATATTTTCAATCTATCAAAGATAATTAATTCGAATTAAATTTTTAAATTTTAACTTAAATTTTGATTTTTGCGATTAAGACAACCGATGAATTAATTGGTACTGAAAGGGCGGTTCAAGGGTGTTAATCCTTCCTTGACCGTAACCAACTCCCGAACCGACACGTTTCTGGTACAACGCAGATCAGGTAAGATGGTGTCCAGCCTAGCTAAATTCATTTTAAATGGTCGGTGGCAACTCCAATTCATGAAAAAGACAACTAGTTTTTGTCCGGTTCTCTTTGATTTGAGACTTGATAGTGTTTGTTGTAACACTAAGTCTATCCATTGGGCACGATATCCTTCTTCTTGAAGTTGAAATCGTGGGGAATCGAAAAGTGACTCTTTGTTGCCAATCTTGGTCAACCTTGGTCTTCTTCTCGATTTAGAGACCTGGGTGTAAAAATTTGACCGGAAAATTGTTCTTGGCTGATGCAATTCGGTTGATATGCCTTCGAGCTGAATGGAATCAAACTCGAAGGTCTTTGGAAGATATCCCTTCTTGCCTTGAGCTATGCTGCAAATGATGGTGCCTTTGAGCTGAGTGTAGTTAAACTCGAAGGTCTTTGGTTGGCAGATAACACTTCTCGACTTAAGTTATGCTTCAAATAATATGCTTTGGAGCTTAGCGTAGTCGAACTCGAAGGTCTTTTGGTCACAAATAACCCTTTTTGCCTTGAGTTATGTTGTAAATGATGTGCCCTCGAAGCTGAGTGTAATCAAACTCGAGGGTCTTTGGCAGATATCCCTTCTTGACTTAAGCTATGCTGCAAATGATGTGCCTTGAAGCTGAGCGTAGCCGAACTCGAAGGTATTTGGTTGGCAGATAACCCTTCTCGACTTAAGTTATGCTGCAAATGATATACCTTGGAGCTGAGCGTAGTCGAACTCGAAGGTCTTTTGGTGGGCACGATTCCCTTCGTCATGAAGTTGAAATCGTGGATGGCCCATTCGTTGTGAAGTTGAGCCTCGAACTGGATATCCTTCATCGTGAAGTTGAAATCCAAATATTTTTACTGTTTCGAGGCCAATATCCTTCATCGTGAAGTTGAAATTGACTCTGAAACTGGAAAGTTGTTTGTTGATAGCCAACAGCCCCTTCGCTGTGAAGTTGAGCTTGTGTTGTCTCGAGTCCAATATCCTTCGCTGTGAAGTTGAAATTGACTCTGAATGAAACTGAAAAGTTGTTTGTTGACAGTCAGTCGCCCCTTCGCTGTGAATTTGAGCTTGTGTTGTCTCGAGTCCAATATCATTCGTTGTGAAGTTGAAATTGACAATGAAACTGAAAAGTTGTTTGTTGACAACCAGTCGCCCATTCGCTGTGAAGTTGAGCTTGTGTGTCTTGAGTCCAATATCATTCGTTGTGAAATTGAAATTGACTCTGAATAAAACTGAAAAGTTGTTTGTTGACCGTCAGTCGCCCCTTCGCTATGAAGTTGAGCTTGTGTTGTATCGAGTCCAATATCCTTCGCTGTGAAGTTGAAATTGACTCTGAATGAAACTGAAAAGTTATTTATTGACAGTCAGTCGCCCATTCGCTGTGAAGTTGAGCTATTACCATCAATTTCTGATTGAACTTTTTGAATTGATTATCTTTCATCTTGAAGTTGAAATTTGACTCTAAAAGCTGTAAAAAAATATGCGTGCTAAAAATGATAAATGTGATGCTCTTAAATATGTCTAAGACGTATGTAACATGAATTAATTATGTTTTATCTCTTGGATGGAGCCTCATTTTTGTTTGCTGGTCTTGTCGTTAGAATCGACCATGCCCCATTTCAAGCTTTGGCTTTACAGACCTTTCATATTTGAGACTGTCCTATTTGAAAATGTTTTTATCCTTTTTCTTGTTTTAGGAGGGAAAAGGATAAAAATTCTATAAAATATTATTCGTAATTTAATCAAATTATAAACATGAGTTCAAAGTATATCAAAGGAATCAATAGCTTTTTAATGCTTTCAGAGTTACAGCTCTTTGAAAAATGTTCAAATAAATGGGTTGGCTTTAGGTTGACCTAAGGTTTCAGCCATAAAAAGGTCATTTTTTTGTTATTGCAACGTGCTTTTTTTTGGTTTGGCATTTTAATTGGGTGCGGACAAAATGACGCAACTAGCATGATCAATTACTAGACCTTTTATTTTGGTCCTCTGAAATCTTCCATTTGTTCAAGCCTCGTAAGCTCCTTTAATAAAGGCAGTGCAGAAATATCGGTCTAAAAATGAAATTCCTAAGTGCTCGTGTGAAGTTGACTATAACTAACTCCCTTAGTCCATCATTATCGAAAATTGCTTGCTTATAAATTTGATTTAATTTGTCGTTATCTGGCTAGCTGAATCCAGAAAGCCGGGGCGTTTAACCAATTGCTTTAGAGAGACAACTTAACATTATAATCAGTTTTATCAAGTTAACTGAAGGGTTCATCTCATCACAAAGTCTTCGGTCAGACAATAGTAGTGGAGCAAACACCGAATTGCCAAGTGTTCGAGCAATTTCATGGTTTAAACGTAATCTACTCATAAGGCCAGGGCTTTCAAGTTTCCTCTATAACCAATTACCTTAGTGGAATAGCTCAGCTTTACAGATTTAATTTCTTAAGTTTTTCAAGAAGAACCTGTTATAGTCTAGGTGTTGTTGAAAGTCAAGGAATCTTATTTTTAGAGTTCAATTTCTAAGCAACTGACTTAAACTAGATTTGCTTACTTGACTATTCTATCTGTGAAGATCATTATCATAACTGAACGTGCAAACGATGTCCCTTGTTGTCCGTACCTATGTACATCTAAATACCAAGCCTTATGGAGGAAGAAGGCTACATTGGTTATTTGCAAGAAAATGGTAAGGTGTTTGAGTGTATCTTTCTGAAGTAAGGTCAAAAGTCATTGTTTTATCAGTTTTTTATCATGTTAAATTGTCAAAAATTTGTAACTTTGAATCATTTACGGAGTTTTTTAAATTCAGTCGATATTCAAAGAATTATAAGTTTGCAAATGTGATTCATTGCTCAACATCTTTAAAGTAACATAAATTTATTTAAAAATCCTTACAAAACTTGAGAAAAAAATGAAAAAAAAATTAAACAGAATGCCTCAAATGGTGAAATGATCTTCCTCACTTGGATGCCCCCAAGTTGTTGAAGTCGATCCAGTTCTGGTTACACATATTCTGTACGACTATCTTGAATGCGTAACAGTTCTCAATAGTATTCCCTGGGACACCGCCGTGATATTCACAGTGAGCATTCTCATCATACCACTTGGGGTATGGGGGACTTCATGGGTTCCACCAGATATGGTGACACTACATGGGTATCAAGAAGTTGCTGGTAAAGCTCTTTGTAGGTCATGGGAATATGGTTGAAATGTTCTCTTTCTCTCCTAGGTTTTCTGGAATCTTGTTTAGAAGTACCTGATGGTATAGCTACAGTTGATTTCGGTTTGGAGATTGTAATACCTTTATTAGCGTGGTAGGTGTTAACATTGTTAATATCCTCATCCCTTTTCTTTATTGGAGGTTTGTTACTGGCCTCTCCATCCTTTATCTTACCTTGCTTTATGACCGACTCGACCATTTCTCCGGCCATAAACAGATCTGAGAAACTTCCTGATGTGATCGCCACCAAATGCCCGAAGTAAGGTGTCTTTAGGGTTTGTACAAACAACTTTCTAGTTTCTTTCTCATCCATGGGCGGATGAACTTATACATCCAAATCACTTTATTTTTGTGCGTATTGCCTAAAACTCTCGTTATGATTCTTTTTATGCTTTGTAGCATAACTCGATCTGCCTTATGTCATTGACATGCTTGTATTGTTTCAGAAATGATTTGGCCAGGTCCTTCCAAGTCTTGATATGGGATCGGCTTAACTGGTTGTACCACCGGATGACTGAGCCTGACAGACTCTACTAGAAGCAATGGATCAGGAGTTGGTCATTTCCTCCATATCATGTCATCTTCCGGCAGAACATGGTGATGTGAGCGGATGGGCAGATGTTTCCGTCAAACTTCTCAAATTCTGGGGACTTCAATTTTGGAGGAAGAACCAAGTCCGGGACTAGGCTGAGTTTCGCGGCATCGACTCCAGGATAGTCATGGTCTCCTTTACCTACATTCATTTGGTCCTCCATTTGCTTGATTTTCTCCTCCATCTTCTTTGATTTGTCCTCTTCGTCTGAATCCGGTATATGGTAATAACACGGATTGCTCTTAGGGTTAAATACAGAGGACGAGGGCTTCACTTTCGCAGCAAATGAGTCCCCTCGAAGTTCTGGTAATATTTCAGGTGAGACAACCACTTGTAGGATAGGAGGTATAGTTACCCCATCCGGTGAACCTGCCCCAAGCGCACTGGTCTGTTGTAGGCTAACTAACTTGGCCACAATTTGATCGACCAATGACTCTTGGTTTTTCATGATTGTATTCAGAGTACTCAGACTACTCTCGTTTATTTTGTCTTCCAACTCTCTATGGAGCTTCAACATGTTCTCCTCAATCTGAGCAATTATGGCTTCCATTTTTTTGCTTTTTTAAGCAGGTGTTATGCGGATGGGGCATATCCTGAGCTTGAGGTGGTATCTCCAATATTTGTTCCTTTCCGATGAGACATGTTTTCGTTAGTTAACGTGAATGCAAAGAAAATAACAAAGTGCAAAAATGTCTAAATGCATGATGCATGAAATGTCCGATGCATTGATCCAAAAAATGTGCCTGCTATTATGAATAATCCTTATTGGGGACAAAAGTGTTACGTTTGAAGAGACAAAAAACTTTTTGATGGTATAGATCCCGCACAGCTTCTGACAAGTTGGTTCGTCTTCCGCTTTTTTTTTCACCGGTTGAACATCCTGTCGAACCATTCCAGCTCCTTTGGCTAAACTTGTGTAGGTAACGAGCTACTTACCCCAAAAAGGTCTCGAAGGACTGTATCTCTGGCTTTTACTCTATGTCGAGCTTGTTCCAAACGAAAGCGCCATTGGAGTCCTCCATCCAAAGTTTATCGACTTGTTTCTGGAATTCGTCAATAATGGTCTCCAGCTTAGCTAGGGTTTCGCCATCTTTTTCTCATAGTTTTCGAAAGAACTCTCCAGGTCAATAACCTTTTCCTCTTCTTGCCCCTACAACCTTTGCCTCTGAGTATTCTTTGACCACGGCTGGACTTCTGAGATTTTTATCTCTTTGTATTATAACCTCTTTGCCCATTAATGCAGATTATTCATGTTTAACAAACACGTTTTTGGTGGATCAACACCTCGTTTTAAATGATGCAAAGAATGAAAACAAAATAAAAGAAGACAAAAAAAAGTTAGTGAGGTAAATCAAAACAATAATAAAAATGAAAAAATCCTATCCCACATGATATCTACCCCACATGTTTATTGTTCCTACCCTGACATGATTTCTATCCCGCATGCTAATTTCAAACAAATCCTAAACCGCATATTTGTCTAGTTCGCATGCTTTGAATAGAAAGTAAAGCAGGAAATAAAATCAAAGCAACCTAGGGTTTGCAATGAGGTTTTGGGGTGGGCTCTAATTCCCTGTACTCTCCCTTAGTCCTAAGCCCATTACAAGCTTATTTGGACTAAGTTAAACTCGAGAGGATACATTCCCTTATGCTCATACGGAGAATAAATTCACACGAAGGCATAAGGTATATGAATCCCGAAGGTTACTTGCTAGGTACGGTGAATAAATTCACACGAAGGCGTCGCTTTCACCCCCACATAAAACGGATTCGGAGCTCGGGTATAGAGCCAAAGATGAAAGTTTTTCAAACCTGAAATCATTGAAAGAAAACATTAGTACAACTATTTATTTGAAAAATAATCAAAGGTAAATAATTGGAATCGAATAAATAAATTAAAATTAAAATTTACCATTTTCGCTTAAAAAGACAACCGAAAATTAATTTTGGCATGACTCACTTACCTGTCCCCAACAGAGTCGCCAAGCTGTCGGAACCGCCTTTCGGTTGGGGCCGGAATTGGGCTTCAACTTGGATTAAATGAATTGGAGTCGCCACCGTCCATTTAAAACGAATTTAGGTTTGTCAGACACCATCTTACCTGATCTGCGTTGTACCAGAAACGTGTCGGGTTCGGGAGTCTGTTACGGTCAAGGAAGGATTAGCACCCTTGAACCGCCCTTTCGGTATCAATTAATTCATCGGTTGTCTTAATCGAGAAAATCAAAATTTAAGTTGAAATTTAAAAATTCAATTTGAATTAATTATCTTTGATCGCTTGAAAGTATCCCTAAAAAGTCAAAAGTGTTGGATTGTAAAAATGAAAATAAACATATGAAAAGAATAATAAAAAATATTAATATAATAATATTAATAAAAATGAAAATGAAAAAAATATATATATAACAATGTAAAAAGAAATAAAAATATTAAAATTAGGAGAAAATGAAAAATATATATAAAGTAAATAAATACAAAATGAAATAAAAAGAATAAGACAAAAGTTGTTACATCTCCCATGTTTTGCATGTAGAGAAACTAGATTTGCAATAAAAATGCTCTGTCACTCCTCGTGCTTTTAGATGTTAGCTTTTAATCATCCACGCTTATTTTATGTCATTTTCTTCCCTCAATTTTTTCAAATCGTTGTCACTTCCTCTGATTTTGGTTCTACGTTTTTCTTTGTGTCATTTCCTCTTGATGCATGAGTCTATTTATAGTCTAAAGAAACCTATTTTTTAGCTCAGATTTAGATTCTTACTTGGTCTCAAAATGCTTCGATTTTAGTGTTTCAATAGGACTCAAATACATTGGTTTTAGTGTTTTAATAGTACTCAAATACGTTGATTTATTTTCTGAATTTCACTAAATCGAGGTTGTTGAGTGTGGGGCATGCAAAAATAATAAAATAAAAATATATTAATAATAATAATATATAAATAAATATATAATATAATAAAATATTTTTGTAGAACTGAACAAAAACGGGTGTCTACAATTATTAATCCACTTTATTTTAAAACTTTTAATGAAATAAACGTGACATGCAAATTTAATTTGAGGACCAAACTATGCACTCTGATTAAATCAGCACATGGAATGCAATATTTTTTTTAAAAGAGTTGGGTTATCCAAAAACGAATCGCTTTCAATGCGGAGAAGAGATACGTGTGCAAATTTGAGAGGGCGAGGACTGGGTGTGGGGTCACCAACATTGAGTCTTCCTGTTGGCCATTCCTTATATATGTTTGGAAAAGTGGAAAAATTTCCCAGAATTTGTTTGTTAACACACTATTTCAAACTTTGAAAGTTGAATCCCAGAAGAAACCTATATATTCATTCCCCCCAAAAAAAGATTATACAGGGAGAAACTGGTTACCTGTTTCACCTTTCCCTTCTTCAACGGCGGTAGCATACAAGGAGGGCCTCCATTTATTTCTTTGAAGAACAAGAAATTGGAGGCTCTGTTTTAGATTTATTTTTTTTAAAATTCTTCTGGAGAGAAGATGATAAGATGGTGGTGGGTTTGTTTTTTTCAATTAGCCGAGCTGTTTGTTAGCTCAATGGTTCATCTTTTATATGGGTTTTATGTGTATAGCACTGCTGTTGCTGGGGACCTTCCTCAAGTTTTGAGTGATCGGATTTTCAAGGCTAATGCAAGTTTGGAGGTGAAAAGACAAGGTCCCAGTAAAACTAACGTTGCAGATCTGCCTCCTATTGTTTTGGTTCATGGCATTTTTGGATTTGGCAAAGGAGTATGTTCATCTTCATCCTTTTGGTGTTCTGGTTTTTTTTAAACTGAATTTTATTATCTGATTTTGGTTCTTTTTGCAGAAATTTGGAAGTGTTTCGTATTTTGCAGGGGCTGAGAAGAAAGATGAGAGGGTTCTTGTGCCTGATTTGGGATCTCTCACCAGCATTTATGATAGGTAAATGGATTATGTAGCATAAATGGTCGCCATTTAGGTTTGATTTTGTATGTTTATATGGGTTTTTAAGAGGGTTTTTTTGTTGATTTCAGGGCTCGTGAATTATTCTATTATTTGAAAGGTGGGAGAGTTGATTATGGTGAAGAACATAGCAAGGCTTCTGGGCACTCTCAGTTTGGAAGATTTTATGAACAAGGCAAGCTGAAATTTCCCTTCCCTTTATTGTTGTTTATGTGTTTTAACGGACGAATTTGCTCACTTGATTAGCATAATAGTATATGCTTCTAAGATACTTCTGTTAACTTTAGAATGACAATGTGGACAGGAGAAGACTATCCCTTAATTATGTTCCGAATACCGATTTACTTTTCAATTTTCGTTCTTTGTACTGGATTGATCTATATTCCATGTAAGCCTGATTTAAATTGTTTTACTGTGATATTGGAATGGCAGGGCATTACCCGGAATGGGATGCAGATCACCCTATTCACATTGTTGGCCATTCAGCCGGTGCTCAGGTTGCGCGTGTATTGCAGCAGATGCTTGCTGATAAAGTTAGTCCATTTCTGATTCGAATGTAGAGTCGCCTTTTACGGGGTTTTTCCCTTTGTTTGAGTGCTGATAATTATGTTATTCTCCTTAGGCGTTCAAGGGATATGAGAATACATCTGAGAATTGGGTGTTAAGCATAACAGCCTTATCTGGGGCCTTCAATGGAACTACAAGAACTTATTTAGATGGAATGCTGTGAGCTCCCTTTAAACTAATCTTCTTTGCTCTATTCAAAAGTTTTAATTGAAGTGAATTCTACCATCAATGTTAAGTACGCTAAATTTTGATATCCCTGATATTTGTGATCGAATGATGTTATAGAATTGATATCCCGAAAAATATCCGCTTGCATTCGAATCTGTATTTCATTTTCATGATTCTTTAGCATTGATATTCAAACCATCTTCCTTGTGAAGAGTTTCCTTATTCTCGGTTGCTGTGATTTTGACTGGTTTCAGGCCGGAAGACTGGAAAAATTTGAAACCTTTATGTCTGCTACAGCTATTGCGGTTAGGTGTTGTGATATATGATTGGTTGGATATCCCCTTGCTAAAGGCCTACTACAATTTCGGGTTCGATCACTTCAACTTGTCATGGAGAAAAGTAGGCCTCTGGGGTCTCGTCGATTACCTCTTGGGGAACACAGGGCCGTGCGCTACCGGAGATTGGATCCTTCCCGATCTTACGATTCAAGGAGCCATGAAACTGAACAGTAGTCTGCAAACCTTTCCGAATACATTCTATTTCAGCTACGCTACGAAACGTACAAGGAAGTTCCTCGGTGTCACAGTTCCTTCTGGTATTCTTAGCATACACCCTATGCTTTTTATACGAGTTCTACAGATGAGCCTGTATCGACACCCTATCGATGTTCCTCCGCCATATAAAGGCTACCGGTGCGCCCCTAACAACTTGTTGCTTTAAGCCAACCGTAATGCTCAGGGTTTTAAGATTGAAAACATGTTTGTATTTGCAGGGACGAGGATTGGTTGGACAACGATGGAGCACTGAATACGATATCCATGACCCACCCTCGTCTCCCGGTCGAGCATCCGAGCTGTCGTGTTTCAAATGATTCTGAGTGCCTACCTTTGCAACCAGGCATATGGTTAGTATCGCCGACTTATCTGTCGAGTTTTAATCATGTTGCATCAGCTTGACATAGAAATGTAATGAAAAAAATGCAGGTATTACAAGATAGTAGAGGGAGATCACATATTATTCATATTGAATAGAGAAAGAGCAGGCGTCAAATTCGATGTTATATACGACAGCATATTCGAGCGATGCAGAAAACATATTCTTAAGAAGACTACACAAACTATACCCAATCAAGCTACCATGAATTAATAAGCATTTTCTGCTTGTTAAGGCCATGATGTCAAGCATTCTTTAGCGTTGCATACATTTTTAGGTAACTTTGTGGTCAATTAAGCTCATTCAGTAAAGAGACTATTAGGGACAAAACCTTTGTATTTCTCCACTAATGCTTGCAAGCCTGGGTAAATGTAGGGAATCACGATCAACTTCTTGCCACTATCAATTGCAATATCTTTTCCTTTTTTTATTATTATTCTTCTCTCTTATTGATTCAGCATTTCACGATCAACGAAGATCATAAATAATATAATTTGATTTCATGATGACCTAAATATGATAAACTTTAAAGTAATTAGTTTTAAAAAATGAGTTAATATATTCAATTTATTTTATCATCTGAATGGTATTATTGTTTAATATATTTAAATGTTAGTATTATATTTTCTACTGAAAATATAATTAATAAATAATAGTAAATTTAAGTTAATAATAGACAATTGAAGATTTTTCTTTGATAAATTGTGTTCAAATATTTAATATTTTTAACAGTTTATAATTTATTATTTATGATTTATGATAATTTATTTTCAATATTTTAATATATTTTTGGAATAATCATTGATATTCGATCTATCAATTGACTAATTCGGATTGAATACTATAGAGGTCCAATACGAGTGTGACTCTCCCAATTTGATTTGATCCATTTGCAAGTGTTGAAATTCAAACTCTAACCATTTTTATCTTTTAAATAAACTTTTAGGCGTTTTTCCCGAAAAATCATTTTTTTAATTTAATATTCCCGATCAGGCACCGGTCAAACTATATTTCCCGATCTAACACCCTTTGCAGTAAGGCGAGTCCCCTGCGGCTCGCCTTATGCTGACATGGATACACGTGTGTATGGCGCGGGGCAGGGGCCGCACTATTCAATTATCTCAATTATCAAACATACATAATGCATATAACGCGTTGCAGGGGCGCGCGTTGCAGGGGCGCGCCTTACTGCAAAAGGTGTTGGATCGGGAAATATAGTATGACCGGTGCCTGATCGGAAATATTAAATTAAAAAGATGATTTTTCGGAAAAAAAGCCAAACTTTTATTCTTTTTTAAAAATTAGACATTCAAACTTTTTTAAAAGAATTAATATTTTTTTTATAAAAATCACTAATTTTAATTAAAAAATATCTAAAATTACAATAAATATTTACCATCATAAATGTAAATTATCATGTTATTATTTACTATAAAGATAATTTTTATTCATAAAAAGTAATCATCTTTATTTTTTTAATAAAATTATTTGTTTAAAAGAGAAATGCCAGCCAACTATTTATTACTAAACAAGGCATATAAAAACTAAGAAAATGTTCCCAAGGTGCCGGGCACCACACTAAGAAATGGAACATTGGAAAGCTTAATAGGGATGAAAAAAAAGTTGACACTACCTGTAAAATTTATTGAAACTTATTTAAGTCAATTATTTGTGATCTAAGGTGGTGATTCAAAGTTGATTCGAGTATAAATTGGTGTTTATCTGAATTCGAATTAGACCTGAAAATTATGGATCATAACCTGATCTGCACCCGATTTGAGAACGAACTGAACCCGAATTGAATAGATAACATGATAATTGAATCTGAATTGCATCCGAATATGAACGTGAATTAGAGATTAACTTGATAAATAACTGGTATTATCTAACCTGTTATGAACCTGACATGTAATTGACTCAACTTGTAAATGATCCGACTTGTTATTGAATTGATATGATATTTACCTGACTTATAAGTTACAATCAATGAAGTTGTGAGATTTTAAATTTATAATGAATTATGATAACTAATATGATTACTTTTTAAAATTTAAAATAAATTGTTGGTTATGATAGTTAAACTAATAAATTTACTTTTCATATTAACTATAATCCTTAAATTATAACTCTTAATTATAATCATTAAATTAATTTTATTAAATAATTTATTTATTAAACATAATTTTATTAGATTATATAAATTTAATTAAATATTTATAAATTTAATTAATTTTTATATGATAATTGATTAATAATTTAAATATAATTTAACTTGAAATTTTAAGAAATGTATATAAGATAAATTTACTTGAGATTCAAAATTAGAATAACATAATAAATACTAAAACTAACAATTTATAAATGAACAAACAAAATTTATTACACTTCAATACACTATAATTTCAATAAAATCAACTTATGTATATATAATTTTATATATAAGTATACATGTATGATGCATGTACATATATATATATAATATGATGTATGTACATAATTATCTATATAAGTATAAAAAGTATATATATATATAAAAGTATATATAAATATTTTTTTACAATTTCAATAATTGAGTCCATAAATACCTATTTACATAAATCCTATTACAAATAAAAGTCTAATCCCAATGATACAAGCCCACATGTTTAAAATTTTCAGAAACCCTAACATGAAAAAGGTGCTGCCGCCCCTCTTTGGGTTTTTTTGGGGATTTTTTTTACTTTATTTGCTTGAAGAATAAACATGCATTTAATGGGACCAGCTTTTTAGGAAAGCTACTTAATTCTTCCACCTCATCAATCCTAGTGTAAAGGTTATTTTGTATGAGTCGTGGATCTATAAATATTTTTTAGGATGGACATATATGTATTAATAAAAAAAATTCATATGTGACAAACACAAATAAAATTTTAGGATGAACATCTTCAGTAAAATAAATAATTAATATAAAAAAAATTAAATTTAAAGGTGAACACTATAAAATTTTAGGTTAACAATTTCAGTAAAATAAATTAATATAAAGAAATTTGAATTTTAGGGTAGACACATGGTGCCAATCTAAAGGATGAGATCGAACAATCTAAAAGCATCCATGGTTGTATATACATACATACATAAGTATATATGTATGATGTATTTACATATGTGTATATTATATATATATATATATATATATATATATATATATATATATATATAAAAGTTAGCTTTATTGAAATTTTAGTGTATTAAAGTGTAATAAATTTTATTTGTTCATTTATAAATGGTTAGTTTTAGTATTTGTTATGTATATGTATACATATATACTTATATGCATAAGTTTATTATATATACATATATACTTATGTACATATATGTATATGGCTGTCCCTTTTTTTCCCATATGTATGGGTAAGGGGAGGTAAGATAGTAGGTTGCCTCCAACACCAGGTTGAGAGTAGCTTCCGTAGGAGACCTCCGAATTATGAAATGCCCTCCGTGGGACTCGATCCCACGACCTCAAGGTTAAGAACCTTGTGCTCTACCAACTGAGCTGGATGATCATTTTTTATGTACATATATGTATGTACACATATATACTTATATGTATAAGTATAAAACTTATGCATATTTTTTACTAGTTAAATATTCAAATTGAATAGAAAATCTAATTTAATAGTTTAAAACAATTTAAATGGTAAGGTTATTTATTCAATTTTATTATTAAATTAAATGGATTTAATAGAAATTTAATAGAAATAGAATAAGAACAGAATTTAATAATAATAGAATTTTTAATTCGAAGTTCTAATCTTAAAATAATAAATAAACAAAGAACTATTGTTCTTATATATATATATATATTTCGTTTACTTTTAAAAAATAAATTATGACATATAAATATACATGCATTATACATATTTTATAATTGCATATGTACATATATATACATATATACATATAAAACATACATCATTGATCATATATATACATATAAAACATATATCATTGATCATATATATATATATTATACTTGTGTATATATTATACTTATGCGCATATATATATACCTGAGCTGACATCTATCCAAACTAAAATTAACTCAATCTAAATACAAACTGAATTTGATGTCAAATTAATCTGAAAATGACTCGAATTAATTTGATCAGAACCTGACCTGATTTGAGTCGAACTATAAAATTGACATGACACGACCTGTATTGATTTAACCAAATCTTAAAATCTGACTGAAATCTGAACGATTTCATATCCCTAGAAAGCTAAACCAAACAAAAACAAAACGAGTAAAGTCTAAAGATAAGTAAAAGAAAATTATCAGTCTACTTTGGCCGAGTTTTCATTTTCTTGCGCGTGAATTAGGACATTCAAACGACTCAACTGCAAGCATGCACCAGAACCCAGAACTCTACTACGGGGGGGTCTAGGAACATTCGATCCTCTACCGCTTGGTCTTCAACAGTTGACGAGGCTTCTTCAATCCAGAACCGATCATAATCTCCAATACCATGGTCATGAGCAAGGAGGCGAGCTGCTTTATTACCTGTTCGAGGGGTGAAGCGAAACGAACATGCATGAAATTCCTCCGCTCTTTGACGAGCTTCTCAAATAAAGGCACTAATTTATGATAAATCCTGTTGAATAATCGGGTAAAGAAAATGAAAAGAACACAAGAATTTTAACGAGATCATCAATGTGCTTACGTCCTCGATGCCCTAGGTGGCACTAGAATTTTTATTCAATATCTCATAGGTTTTGGTTACATCTCCTTTTATAATAAATAAACCCTGGTACATATTTACAAAAATAACCATGTATCGTACCGCGGGGCTGCACCCCTGCACCCCAACCCACATAATCTTAACCCCCACTAGGAGGCTTTCTTTGTAAGGACATATGATGTTCTCTTCGCT